ATATCTTCAATAAAGTGATTCAAATGATTTGTGGCATTACATAATCATGTAAACCATCTCTATAGGTCATGCTAAATAATATAAATGAAATAAATGTAGCTAAAATGTTATTATATTATTAGAGATGGTCCCCTCTCTCAAATTAAAACGTTCCCAGAATCCCCACAGTGGTTGACTTGGGACATATTCACCACATATACACCTCGCAAGCCGAGATTGTGTTTACAGCGAACTGGAGGGCAAATTTGTCAGTCTCAATTATTCATTCAATCTCTCTTTCATTCAAATGCTTTCAGTGGTTAATCTGTCCATTTATTCAACAGTTTATTCTTCCACTCAGTCAGCTCTTTCTTCATCCATTTGTGGACATGTTCAATTCTTTATTCATTCATTCAAATAATTGCTCACTTGTCATGTATTTGTCTATGCATCCCATCATGTATTAATTTCAAAGTGTGTACTGTCCACTCATCAATTTTATATTCGTATGCTAAATGAATTGCAGTAGAGCTGCAGATGAGGTAGTGCATACATTAACATACTGTTATTTGGTTAAAAATCCTTAGTTCATAACCAAATATTAAAACAAACTCAGGCCAACCAATAAACATTGATTATTTCAGCCTCCAATGTGACCTTCTTGTTGAAGTTTAAGAACCAGACTTTCATTTTTGCTAAATTATAAACATTTTAACAGTATAGCAAGCCAATTGAGTCTTGTCTCAAAAAGACCTAGCTGCAAACTTGCCTTTAGGGAAGAAGGTGATGGAAGAGGAGACCTTATTTCACACTTTTTTTTCCTAGCAAGCTAGCAAGTGAAGCTCAATAAACCTGAACCAGACCAGACTCAGGCACAGCTTCCTGTTCCGCCATCTAATGTGATTACCATATTGACTGAGGCCACAGACGTGCGCCCTGGGTGCCAAAGTACTAAGTGCATTAATGGCGCATGTCCACTGCAGGGCCTCGCTCGGCTTAGTACGGTATAGTTAGGCCTTGGTAGGCCAGGCTCACTTTATGCTGCGTTTCCATTACAGTTTAGTAGCTGGGGTAGTAACTATAGTAACACAGTGTAGGCGGAGCCGTGACGTCATCTTCAATGCGAACCACAGAAAACCAACATCAGCCGTTAGCTCTTAGCACTCAGAGCTCACAGCTCCTCATATCTGTTCAGAAACTAGACAAAAGTTAAACAAGTACAAACCACAGACTGTCTGTGTCATGGAGAATACAGTCGCTGGTTTATTTATGTCTGTATAGGCCGTTGTTGTGAGTGTGGACGGTCGGAGCATATACTGCGTTAGCTTAGCCGGTCTCCATTCAGAAAACACGCATTTTAAAAAGGTTCTCGATTTTGTGAAGCCAGAAAAACTGTGAAAAAATACCCGCTAGCCGGAACTACCCCTAGTGGAAACTAGGGGTAGGGTTAGGGTTAAATAATGTTAAATAATCGTTTTTACGATGCATTGCGATGCGGACGTGGACAATTCGGTCTCGATGCAGTGACAGAAGATAATCGGTTATAGCGTAGTAACGTTGCTTCCTGATTTTCCGGCCGCGGCTTTACTATAACGTTTTTTTTTTTCTGTCACTTTAATATCAAATCGGTCGGTGACGCAGAGATCAGGGAACAGACGTGACAGCGGCACAGCAACACCAAACACGGAGCAGTCTGCTTTATCCACCAACCCAACACCACCAGTCCAGAACCAACAGCAGAAGGACCCGCTCTGAATCACTCCGTGTCGCTGCGGAACAGGGATTTATGTTTTTCAAAAATAATCACGTTACAATCATGTCAGGTTTTTGGTGGATTTAATTAAGTCTTGGATTGCAAAGTATGAATGTCCTCTAGCAATTTTCAGACGATATATACGTGTGTAAAGTTTGTGAAGGCAGGAGGAAAAAAGCTTCCGCGATCACCGTCTCCTCTCCGTTCCTCCAAACCCCGCCCCCTCCTGAAAATAATGAGTGACAGGCTGATAGTGACCCGATAGAAACTTTATTATTCACTGAGATATGATGAAGCTAATTTAATCTCATACATTCATGGGATTTATGTAACAGTAAGACAGAGAATGTAAGTGTGCACCCACATGCAGTATTTTTGTTTGTATATGCTATTGTAAATACTCCTGTTGTCTGCTGTGTTCAGACTCAAGTCCTGTGTGTGATGCCACATTCAGGACATTCAGTGTCCTTTTTTTAACAGAAGACCGTTGCTAGAAGCTGCAGCTAGACTGCAGAAGCATTATTTTTTTGTTTTTGAGGATGGAACAACTTCACACACAGATATAGGGAGGCTAGACCTATACAATTCATTTATTTTGGTTTATAAATGAATGTCAAGACATTTATGTTATTGATTTCTGAAGCACTTTCTAAATAATAAAAATAGTTCATATGTATTTACTGCATGTATGCATTGATGAAAAATAAGCCATGTGCAGTAATATAGAAAATTGAGGATGCAACGCATTGGTATGAATCGTGATGCATCGGGATATCGAATTGAATCGAATCGTTGACTGGATAATCGTAATCGAATCGAATCGTGAGACCAGTGAAGATGCACAGCCCTAGTGGAAACGCAACCAAAAACGGGCCAGGCATCGGCACGCTTAAACCGCGCTCTAGTGGAAATGCGCCATTAGAGTGCACTAAATAATGCAGGGTCTTCTGCTACATATTCAGCTCAACTTGATGCAATGAGGTCCTCTAGCTATGTTGGACAATCAAAAACATTGAGTGATACATACGCTGTAGCTGTTTTTCTTGCGATTCACATGGTAACAATTTAGAGAAATTAATTCCTTTCTGTGAATATAACTACTACGAAGTGTTTTTTATGTCTGAAAAGCCTTTAAACACATTGGTATGTTTCTTACAACTGGATTTCAAAGATTATTTTGTTGTTTTAACAGCAAAGGAACAACTCTTTGGGCTCTGTCCAGTCTGAATCCCTGCCAGCAGCCTTTAGGAGTCACATGGGACCAGAGCCCCATGGAGTTTTTAACAAACTATGATGAGGACCACACTTTTTTGGTATGCGGCAAAGGCATAAATCATGAGTCACAAATATATAACCTGTGACTGGACATGTTGCATTTAGTGTGGAAAAACGTGTTATTTGACATTTACCATAAATATGTGAGATGGTTAAAATTGCTCCAGTGATATTTTTCAGTCTTTTTGACAAAAAGTAGGAACAACCAGCAGAGGATACAAATAAAGACTATGTTTTTACAGATTCCATTCGAAAATGGCAAATTACTAATCTAGCCAACATCAACATATGTGTAAATCGTCGTTTTTAGTCGATTCAACACAAAGCACGTGCAGATAAGACATACTATGCTTGTTTGAGACAAGCGAGACCGACGCAGACCTGCGCAGTTGCGATCAACATCTTGCTAGTGCGTTGCATGATGGTTAGTCATTTTGTCCGACTTGCTCTGGAGGCTCGCCCACATGAGACGTTGAAATCTCGCGGGACAAAGGCGCGAGGCGCGGCGAGGCGCGGCGCGGCGGCGCAGTTCCTCTCCACGGGCTGCGGAAGCGAAATGCTTGATGGGAAACGACTCGCTGGTATCTCGAGCTGAGCGCTCATTGGTGGTTTTTTCCACGTGCTGCTGATGAAACTCTCCAATTGGCTCGGCAAAAGTTTATTGTTGTTTTGTGTCAGTTTTACGTCGCCACTTCCATTCACATTTTTCATCATTGTTCCACAATGTTTATCATCATGAAATTAATATCTATATATGTTATAATATACTTGCACTGCTTACCGTTTTCATACTTTATATATCTTAGCATATTCATACACACTGTTCATACTGCTCTCAGGCTGCTGTGTATCTAGTGTATTCATACCCCTCACTGTTTATTCATCATTCTATATTTTATTCTGTAGATTGTGTACATTACTTTTCACTTTACTGCTTGTTGCACCTGGTTAGAAGCTACACTGCATTTCGTTGTCTCAGTACCTGTAATATGTGCAATAACAATAAAGTTGAATCTAATCTTGAGCAGGAACAAATGTATTTACTTAGTACATATCTGACATTAACGATTAAACACATGTGTGCATTCTTTATAAATGCAAACCGAGTGGTGAAGAAGAAGAAGAAGAAGAAGAAGAAGAAGAAGAAGAAGAAGAAGAAGAAGAAGAAGAAGAAGAAGAAGAAGAAGAAGAAGAAGAAGAATAAGAAGAAGAAGAAGAAGAAGAAGAAGAAGAAGAAGAAGAAGAAGAAGAAGAAGAAGAAGAAGAAGAAGAAGAAGAAGGCTATTCTCATTCAAGCCTAATAGCTTCCGCCTGACTACCCTTTAAGCCGATACATCACCTAATAATTCAAATAAAACTAACCACATGACGATCTTTGAAAGCAAACCTGAAGGATTTATGCTGTTCCGGTAAAATACAACATCATTCAGTTAGCATAACGCAGCTTTTGTGGTTAATGCTAGATTATCGCCAGCATTGTCGAATGACACTGTTAAGCTACCAAGAAGTAAAAACACAGCACTTCCTCCTTGCACGAATTTCAGAATAAAATGTGTATTGGCATCAACGCAGCAATGCATTCCTGTGTAGTTTGTGTAGCTATAATATATTCAAGTGTGTCTTGTAGGCAACTTAGATGTAATGTACTTGTTTACGGAACACTGTACACACATTAGCTAACGTTAGCTACATTAGCTTGCTATGCCTAGCCACGGATGTTTCCTCCTTGCAGAACGCCTACAAAACGTAATCACACAAGAAATAGTCCACCACACAACGTAAGAATACCGTCTGTAAGCAGTGTCTCTTATATTTACATCAAAAGAGTTACGTTTACAGTAGATAACGGGCACGTCACTCCGACATCCTTCCTGGTCATCCTGACTGATGCTCACTAGCTTAACGCACAGCAGCCGATTCAACCTGCACAATCGTCTCAATAAAAGCACATCAATATTCACTGGAAAACGTATTTAAGCAGAACAATCTTTACCTCCTTCTTCTTTTGTCCTCCCCCGGGTGGCATACATAGCAGCAAAAGGAAGAAAACAGACAGAACCGGCAGGTTAACGGAGGTTTTAGCCCAAACAGACGCCATGACGGAAGGATGCTCTGACTGCGAGACACGTCTCCGACCAGTGATTGGATGCTGAATCAACCAATCAACGGAAAGAGAGTTTAAATGTGGAAAGCCTCTGGGTTTTGTAGTTGTTAAGGCTAACAGGAATTTACCAACATACTACTTTCTATTCACACAAACACATGTCATACTGTTCATTTTAACTTAGGGTGAGGCATCTAATGTGAACAGTTTAAGACATGATTAGTATAGCCTCATTAAAATAAGCTATTCAATTGTAAAACACTATAAGTAGCCTAACTATGAAAGCTACTGTATAAAAGCCTGCACAGGTCAGGTGGAAAAGGGACATCTGTCGCCTTGGAATGATGAAAATACAAACAAGTAAAGAAAAAGGCATCGTTCACCCATTTGAATGCCTATTGTCACTGATGATTAAATAAACTGATTTGAATATAACAATGAATGCTTGATAAATTGTATGGGGCTCCAATATCAAACAAATGTCAGTATTTAAGATAGAAATGTAACAGATTACATTAATCGTGCATACATCATCATTTATACAAAGTTGCAGACAAAGGGTAACTTTAACACATTTTCGGTATTATAGCTATCCACATGCTGCCAATGTTTTAGTTTACTTCATTTTATTATGTTCCCATACAAGACTTGTTTCAATCTTAGAACAGAGATTAGACGGATGACTGAGCGAAAATGTCCCCCCTGATTAAGTTACTGGTCTTCAGCTTGGCCTGCTATTCATCAAAAGTTGGAAGGAATGAAACGTCTGAACCAAGGACTGCATATTTCTGTCTCTCTGTTACTCTCTCTAATACTTTCTGGGAGTGGTGAGATTGTCGCAGACACTTCATAGAGTTAATTGAGGGGGACAAATGATTAATGGTAACTCATTGGGGCTGACATGTCTCACTGTCACCTCATGAAATTACACCTCAGCACTTTTTTTGGTTAATGCAGTGCTGTACATTAGCCTTGCAAAAAACATTACTATAACAGTTATAACTTTTCATATTCTGAGCAGTGGTGCTATGTTTTAGTTTGTTTGTATTTTTGATAATTGATATGTTTGTATGCAGATGCTTTACACATATCATATAATCCAGTTTGTGGCCATTACCACAACAAAATACAGCTTCATTGATCTAACCCAAACTCTGCAAATGATTATATGGCAGTTTTACAAAGTTCAAGGTCCAGCTTTATGTCATTATACAAACCAGGATTGCAAAATGTAATGCAGTCACAGCCCCCTCCATGCTGCACACACAAAACATTTATAAAATTACTAATTTTCAAAACAGTAAAAAGTTAAATCAAGTAAAACATATACATATAAATGGAGAATATACACAATACAATATATAAATAACAATAAAATACAGTGGTTATTGTATGGGATTCTATAGATTGTACATGGGCTTCTACTTGTCCTGCTGCTTGGAGTAGTATTATGGCTCTAACCAAGAGTCAAGATAGAGGAAGTGGCTAATACAGTTTACTTTTGCATTTACCCTTTGGTGCAAAACAGCTTTCTGTCTGTCTTTTTGTTTGCAGGCCTACTCAGGAGATAACCCCTCTGTTGACAACATTTCTGCTCCGAGCCACATCAAATTACTTTCAGGTAGTAAATATTGTTGAAAACCAATAGACCTGTTTATCTTTTAAAAAAAGAAAGAAATACAGACAAAAGAAACGTATTTTTCTATGCGGAGGTAGTGGAGGGGGAGGGTGTGAATATCACACAAAAAATATTAATCAGCAAGCATTGTATGAAGTGATTATTTATAAAGAATGAAGTCTACTATAGTTTCAAGCTCTTCCCCGTCTCTCTCACTCTTGTTCTCACACACACACATACACACACACATACACACACACACACTGTTGAAATGAAACTCATGTAGGAATATTAAAGCCAATGCACCGTGAAACAATCAGAACGTGTTGCAGTCTTGTTAAACCACAGTTCATTCGCTCTATGGAAACTCCATCACTGAAAATCCCCAGACGTGCTAGGTTTGGTTGCATAATTTGTCAAATGACTCCCGTGGCATTACTTTGCATTGCTAGAATAGGACGGAAGTTGAACAACTTTTTCAATGTAAAGGTCACAGGAGTTAATAAACTGTAGCACAGATTGGATTCGGAAAACATTATGTTTGAGGGACGGCAGGCTATTATTTACTATTTTCTGATAAATGATTTGGTCCATATCAGAAAATAATTAAAATGCCCTGCACCTTTTCCCAAATCCAAGTTGACATTTTAAAATAGCTTTTGTTCAAAACTCAAAGATCATAGAGGATTACCAAAAGCAGAACATATTCACTACAATAAGCAATAGTGGACTTTTTACAGTTTAGCTTTTGTTCCAAATGTGCAAACTTAAATAAATGTTTCACTTGTTGAAATGAATTTTGCACATCTGTATTGTGCTGCTCCCTTCATCCTCCTTAAACTTGCTCGTCTTCATTTTGACATGCATCCACTACATTATCTCAGGTAAGCAAGGAAATGATAACCAGTAACTTCTAAGTTGCTGTCAACATTTCTTCTGCATGGCAACATGGAGTGACCCTCATAGGCTTTTACTCTCTCTGTGCAGCTAGCAAAGCCAACAGCTGCACTTTGCATGAAGCAGAAGAATACAGCTCCTATCTGATCCCAGCCTAGGAGAGTGTTGTAAGAGGGAGAGAGCGGAGGGACATAGAGAGAGACAGAGAGCCTGTTAAAGTCAGTTGCTGCCAGTGCACAGCTGCATGGCTCTTTAGAGCAAATTAGGGGCATGCAGGTAAAACGACACACTATAGTATTGAGGGTGTCTAACATCATTAAGGAATGAGGAGAAATGCAAAGACAAACAAGATTAATTTAGCTAAGTGCATATTCATATGGGAAATGACAATAGCGTAATGCTAATATTTGTTTCTGCTGAACCATTATGACATCAACATGTATGTGAGAGGGATGCTAAACATTTGCATTTGTGGACAAGCAGCAGATGAAGCCAAGTAAATGAGAGATAATATGGAGGAAGAGAAAAGCTGTTTATGGTGTTTTAAAATGCAGGGGAGGTGTGGAGGCAGAGGAAGATAGAAAGAGAGAGGGAGAAAGAGAGAGAGAGAGAGAAGAGAGAGAGAGAGAGAGAGAGAGAGAGAGAGAGAGAGAGAGAGAGAGAGAGAGAGAGAGAGAGAGAGAGAGAGAGAGAGAGAGAGAGGAGGGGAGAGATGGGTGATGTCATATTCAGCTGGCACAGGACTGGGTGCCTGTATCTGATGTAAGCCGCTCCCTTATAAAAAGAACGAATCCTTGGGAAAATGATTAATTGCCCGGCAGAGCAAAGTTTATAGAAAAGAAAGAGAGAGGGAGGTGGAGGTGGCGGGGGTCCCCGAGTTACACAGGAGCAGAAAATAGCGAAACAGTGCAAGTGAGAGGGAGAGAAACAGGGGAGTGCAACATCAAAATAGAAACAGAGAGAGAGCAAGAGAGGGGTAAGTAGAGAGGGATTATAGGCAAGCAACAACAGAGACAGCGAGAGGGAGGAAGAGGGGAAGTGAGAGAAAAAAGGAAAGCAGCAAAGGAGCGATAGAAACAGAGAGGGAGGAGCAGAGAGAATGAGTGAGGCATTCATTAATATGATGTTCGTTATCTCTGACCAACTCCCTCAACAAATGTTCCTCTGTGTGTGCTATTCAATAGGCCTATAGCTGTGTGTGTGTGTTTTCATTAGGTATCTTAGCAATATTGTACAAATGCATGCGTGTGACCTCTCTCACTGCCATATTCATTAGATTGAACACAAGCGTACTGCACTTGAAGCCGCATTTTGACATCACATAAACAGTGGAAAGGGATTGAAAGTGATAATATAAAGGCTCTGAAGCTGCAGCAAAAGTCATGGAGGAGGTTCATCAACAACATAATGTTAAAGCTAAAGAAATACTATAATAGTGGCTCCAAATTCAGAATCTATCTAATACATTTTGGTATCCTGTCCCCTGCATCTGACAAACATAATGAGTTTTATACACTCCTGTTTTGGCCAATAAAAGATAAACTGGTGATGCAGCTAAACACACACGTTAAGCTTCGCCGACTCACAAAATATTGATAAATTATAAAACGGATAATAATCCTCACGGTTTACATCCTCAGCAGAATGTAATCTAGAAGTGATAATCATATCCCTTCTTGTTACAGCATGGCAAGGTGTTTTCCGCTTGGCTGGCAGAGGAGGTCTGAGTCTGGGAACATTATTCAGTATATCCTGCCTGCCTGGCCTTGCCTGCAGTCATCATATCTTATACTATAGGTAAGGAAGACAGGGTAAATGTGTATGAGGAAATTGCAACTGATGAAGATAGCTGGTTCTGCAGATTTGTACACGGTGCAGTAGGTGAAAAAAAAGAATCTAATCCAAGTCTGTTTTAAAAACAGCACACTATTCAAGGATTCAAGGCCAAAGAAAATATGCTGTCCTACATTAACCCTTGTATGGTGTTTGGGTCTGGGACCAGTTTTCATTATTTAACAAAAGAAAAATTATATGATACATTATTTTTTCAAAAAACTTTTCTGTGAAGAACATACATCAGAACACATTTTCAATGACCATACATAAGAAAGAGAGAAGGCAAGAAAGAAAGTATAAGAGAAAGAAAGAAAAGGAAAGTCTCATCTATGTTTCTTTACCTCAATATGAATCTTTTTTTGGAATATGTCCACACACTCACATGCAATACACACGCGCACACACACACACACACACACACACACACACACACACACACACACACACACACACACACACACACACACACACACACACACACACACACACACACACACACACAGGCACAGGCACCAACCCCAGACTTTCTGAAACAGCCTTCCAACAGCCTCATGCATTTAAATCTTCTTGTCTTCAGTGGCAAAGCAGCATTTTCCATTCATCTACTTGATTAGAGCAAGCCTTTACCTCTCCTCTCACTCCCTCCCTTCCTCACCCTCTTTCTCTCTCACACACACA